CCCCCCCCCCCCCCCTTAACCCAAACCGCACCCACAGGCAAGGGCCCGACCTTCACAGCGCTGCTGCACCGCTGCGTCAGGAGCATCGCGGACCCGGAGCTCCCCGTGCGCATCGACGCCTCGGTGGCGGTCCGCGCCTTCCTCGAGGCTGTGGAAATGGAGGACCTGCCCCTGTTCAAGGACCTGGTTCCCAGTCTCTAATAACTTCAATAACTTCTGTCCCAGGAGGTGCGCGGGTATCGAGAGGAGGAGAGGAAGGGGAGTGTGGGGAGGGGGGGGGGGGAGGGGGGGGGGTTAGAGGGGGAACGCTCAGAGGCGCTCGTTCCTGCGTGGAACCTAGACCAGATGGTAGTCCCCCAGGGTGATGCGGCCGCCACGGATGGTCTTTTCCGGAGCGTTCCCTCTTCCCTCGAATGGTTGCGCCCCACCTGCGCCTGACCCTCTGACCTTCCCTCTTCTGGCTTTCAATGCGAATTTCACCCCCCCCAACCACCACACCCACAGATCGACAACGAGGACCTGACCTTCTCGCTGGAGACGGTGGTGGAGCGGTTCAGCGACGAGATGGCGCCCTACGCGCTGGGCCTGACCACCCACCTCACCCAGCAGTTCTGGCGCATCGTGTCGGAGGAGGACGCCGCGGGGGCCGGGGAGGAGGAGGACGACGAGGGCGCACTGGCGGCCTACGGCGTGCTGCGCACGCTGTCCACCATCCTGGACTCGGTGTCCGGCGTGCCGGAGCTGTACCCGCAGCTGGAGGAGCTGGTGTTCCCCGTCCTGCACCGCTACACCTCCACCGACGGCCAGGACGTGTTTGAGGAGATCATGCAGGTGGGATGGTGGTTTGGGGTAGTGTACTTGTGGGGTTGGGGAAAATACATGGGAGACTGGTAGGGGGGTTGAGGGATGAGGGAGTAAGGGGCAGTGCATGCCACTTCTTACAAGAAGGGGGCGAATGGCGGGTCAATCGCAGTGCCTCGACCGCCCCTTGCCTGGAAACCTATGATGTTCGTCCCACAAGGCGGCCCCCACCTGGACTTGCTCCCCTGGCCCACCCCCCAACTGCCCCCATCCCCCCTTACCTCGCCAGATCATTACCTACCTCACCTTCTACGGCAAGGCCATCAGCCCGCGCATGTGGAGCCTGTACCCAAGAATGCTCGAGGTGAGGCGGGGGGGGGTAGGCGCTGAGGCAGTTGGGAGTTCACTGGGACGAAGTGATGCCGCAGCGGTCTGCTAGTCGAATGGGGGTAAGAGTATCGATGAGAATCGTCACTCACAAGTCCCCTGATGCCCGCCGGTCATGTCTGACGCTCCACCTCTACACACCCCAGACCGAACTGATTCCCCACCCCCAACCCCCCTCCAAACTCACCCCCCCGCCCAGTGCCTGAACGAATGGGCAATAGACTATTTTGAGGAGGTGCTGATGCCGCTGGACAACTACATCTCCCAGGACACCGAGACCTTCCTGAACACGCGTGACCCCGACCTGCTGGCCCTGACCAACCAGGTTAATGGCTTGGGTGGGGTCCTTTCCTGGTGGCGGGGATGCGCTGGGCAGCTCGGGTCACGGAAGCAGCCATGCCTCCTTTCCACACGTGCATACCCAGGACCTGCCATGATTCCTCATCAGAATGGCAACAAATTCAGGTCCCCTTTGTTCCCCTCTCTTATTCCCCCCCTTTCTTCCCCTTCTCACATCCCACCGTCCCCTCACCCACCCACGCATCAGACGCTGGAGAAGGTGCTGGCCGGGGATGGGTACCCCGTGGACCAGGTGGTCTGCGCCCCGCGGCTCATGGGCGTGGTGCTGCAGACGTGCCGCGGGCGGGTGGACACCTGCGTCGCGCCCTACCTGGGCCTGATCCTGCGTCGCCTGGCGCGTGGCGACGCTGACGAGGACCTGCACTCCGCGCTCCTGGTGGCCGCCGCCGATGCGCTGTACTACTCGCCGGCGCTCGCGCTGCGCGCGCTGGCGGCCCAGCCCGGCGCCCTGGCCGCACTGTTCGGCGCACTGGGCAAGGCGGTGGCGGCCACGCGCGCCGGCGGGCGCATGGCGGCCTTCCCCTCGCGCCGCGACAAGAAGCTGCTGGCTCTGGGCCTGACCGCGGTGCTGTCCACGCCCGAGGCCGACACGCCGCCGGAGATTGCGTCGGCCGTCGGGCAGCTGGCCGCCGCGGTGGTGCGCCTGCTGCTGGCCGTCAAGCGGCAGGAGGAGGAGGCGGCGGGAGGGGGGGGCGCGCGGGAGCGGGAGGGCGAGGACGCCGGCGCGGCGCGCGCCTCGGGCGACGAGGCCGACAGCGAGGGCGCCGACGGCGACGAGGCAAACACCGACAGCGACGACGACCGCGTCGGGTGAGGCTGTGCTCTGGTATCTTCTGTTGAGGGGGAAGGGGATCGGGAAGGAGAACCTGTCCAAGTGAGGGCAGGGACCCTCAGCGCGGGCCGTCCAGTTGCCCAGAGCGAGTCTGCAAGGCACCGACTTGCTGTGGCGCTCAGCTCACCAGGGCAGTCCCCAAACCAACCCCCTCTGATGGCCCGTCTTCGCTTCCTAAACCCTGGCCCCCTTCCAACTCTCCAGGCGGTATGGCGCGACGCGGGGCGACTCGGACGTGTCAGACTCCGAGGAGGATTGGTGGAGCGACGGGGAGGCGGAGGTGTCCAGCCCCGTGGACGCCGTGGACCCCTTCATCTACTTTGGGGAGGTGCTGGGCGCGCTGGGCACCAGCCAGCCGCAGCGCGTCGCGGCCATCCAGGCCACCATGGACGAGGGCACGCGCGCCGCGATCCAGGGCATGACGGCCTACGCGGCCCAGCTGCAGCAGGAGAAGCTAGAGGCTGCGGCTGCTGCGGCTGCAGCACATTGAGCCATGCGGCACCTTAACCCTCTCGTCATTGCTTCAACATGGTGCAACGAGTGTAAGTCAACCAGGTTACAGCAGCAAGAAACACGTAGGAGCGGGAAAGTGGAAAGGATGCAGAGCGGGGGCAAAAGGAAGGGTGGGAGTCTGGTCACTTGCCGCGGTACACGCTCTTCTCGGAGGGTAGGTACATGAAGAAGGAGAACACGCCTGGGAGAGAGCAAAGGAGGGGCGCAGGGGTCAATCACAGAGATTCTACGGATGCTCGTCAGTTTGGCAGCACCAGCACAGCTCCCCGTCCCCGCTACCGCAGCCCCAGGACACGTGGTCTTACCAGAGAAGATCATGATGAAGAAGATGAAGCCGATGATGAGAGGGTGTGTCTTCAGCTGCTTCCGGACGTTCTGTTTGTGGGACCAGAAGGAGCAAAGGGGGGAGGGTCGGGACAGGCCAGCATCGAGCGCTGCGGCGCAAGCTTCTGACCAGTCCAGGACGATGCATTTCCTCCCACTGCAGCGAGATCTCGTTTCGTACCTGCCAGAAGCCGAGGGGCTTCTTGCCACCGCGCAGGGAAGTGCGGATGAACTCCTGGCTCTTGGCGTTGGTCACGCGCTTAGAGGTCACCTGCGACGTCGATCGTGCGTGGGTATTCTACTGGAGGTTCCCATATGCAGGTGTGTAATCCAGCAGATGCCGGTGAAAGTATTACCCACTGAACGAGGCATACCATGGTGCCTTCGGTTAGCTCCGGAGGGGGTAGTACCGCGTGGAGGTCTACAGCTGGTTCGGCGAGAGGTCAGGCCCTTGAAATAACGTGGATTATCGTTAGATACTCCCGAGCGTGTTGCCTCGCCTTACGCGTCGCGGAGTGGTCAGGAGGGATCCGCTCCACGGCTGACCGTTTAGGTGGGCAAGGGTACCGCTGCGATGGTACTGGGAAAGTATTGCTGCTCCCCCCTCCTCTGCTCTCACCCCGGGCGTTCGCGGTGGCCTCACAGCACAAGCAGATTTCAAGCTGTCAGTTGGTCAATGGGGAGCGAGGAAAGACAAAGGGTGAGGTCGTTCTGCCACAGCGTGTCCACCGGTCTCCTACGGGCGCGCTGCCTCTGCCGCGCCACCCTCGTCCTGCTTGCCGAGGGGGGGAGCTGCGGCCTGCCACACACTCGTCCCCCCCGGAGACCCGGACCAGGCGGCAGAGAAGGTGGCCTCCCTCCTCTGCCTCGCCGGCGTTGCCTCGCCGCCCTGGCCCGGCGCCGCCATGGAGCCCCGAGGACTGCCCAATGTCCAAACGTGCCCGCCGTCCCCGTCAGGGAGCGGCGGGCTCGGGTGGCTCTGATGCCCGCCGCTGCCCTCCGCCCCATCCTCCGACCCGTTGACATGGCGGCCGCCACGCACGGTGAGCGCAAGGTCCCGCCGCTCGGCCACCGTCGCCTCGTCCTCGAAATCGCTCGGGTCGGAGGGCAGCGGGCCGAAGCGTGGCGGCACCGGGGTCCAGAACACCTCCTTGATGTTGCGCCAGGCCCCCACATTGTAGGGGTTGCTGGAGTCTGCAGGTGTTGGGGTCGGTGCCTTGATGTGCGGGAAGAAAGCTTCGGTAGTGGGCACGGCAAGGCAGGGCCTGCATGCATGCGGCAAGGGGACCTTGTCAGTCCTCCCGAGACCCCTTGGTCCTCCCCCGCAGTACCCAGCCACACCCGGGCACAACCAGGAGCAGGCAGTCCCCATCTCTCACTTGTTTCCCGGTGCCGGAAGTGCTCGTAGGTAGTCTGGTTTGTGACGACCAGGTAGGTGTGGAAGGTGGTCAGGCCGCCCACAAACCTTTGGATGTGTTCAAGGGGTAGGTAACGGACGCTCTTGGTCAGTGAGGCGGCCTCTTCATCTTCTGCCCACACCAAGCCGTGCGCATGCTCCGCGCGCCAACTCCCCCCCCAACCCCCTCCCACCCTCCCACCCACCCACCCACCCACCCACCAGGTGGCCAGGAAGGAGTAGGCGGCGGTGAAGAGCGCAGCCTTGGAGCGCGCGGCCCCGGTGCCCCAGGCCCAGCCCGCGTCCCGTGTGTTGGTGAGGAAGAGCGCCAGGCTGAGGCCCATCACCCAGAGGCAGAGGAGGGAGGTGGTGGCCACGAAGCAGAGGAAGTCGCGGTAGTTGCGCCGGCCAATGCAGGTGCCCACCCAGGGGCAGTGGTGGTCGAAGCGCGCGACGCAGTTGTCGCAGACCGCACAGTGGGAGCAGCGCGGCGGGCGGTAGTGCATGCAGGTGGCGCAAAACTTGGTGGCCACGCAGAAGCCGTTGACCTGGTACTCGCGCGTGGCGGGACGGGGCCCGCGCTCCTCGTCACCGGCGGCATCGGAGCGGGGGTAGTACCCCGGGTCGCGCGCCGCGGTGCGCACCATGAAGACGGCGGTGACGGCGACGAGCAGGGCGCTGACCGCCATCAGGGCCCAGCTGTAGCGCCGGGACAGGGGGGGGACCACTAAGCCCAGGAACACGCCTGTCTCGAGGGTGGGGGGGTGGGGGGTGGTGAGGAGTGAATTGCGGAGAAAGGGGCATGGTCAGGGGCTGAGAGTGGGCCGCAGCTGGCGGAGGGTACAGCCAGGAGGGGGGCGGAGAGATAGCGGGGAGGGGGCCTGCAAGGTGCGCCGATTTGCCGACAGGGGAGGGTCTCAACTGGTACCGGCCCGCCATACCACGCAAGAAGGACAAAGAGTCGAGTGAGCTGGCCTTGGGTGAGTGGATCGCTGCGGTCAAGCCACCGCAGCGCGTCCCCATTCTCCCACCCATACCAGCCCCCAACCCACCCGCTGCGCCATAGATGAGGATGAGGGAAGCCACCAAGGACTTCCAGTCCGGACCTGTCGAGAGAGGGGGTGAAGTGGAGGGAGCATGAGACCAGGGCAGTCCCCAACCAAACAGCCCCAAAGAGTCCTACCCTCTGTGCCCTGGCCCGGGGGCACCCACCAAGGATTACACGTCCCCCGAAGAGCACATAATGCGTCCCGGTGTCTACGCCGCGCTGTCGAGCCGGTGGGACGGGCGGTTGAGGGGCCGGCATGCGCTGAGACCCCAGCGGGGGCCTCGGCCCTGGACCTGTCGGCCAAGTGGTCGCTGCCTACCGGCCGCCTGCTGCCCGGGTGAACCCCTCACACAGATCAATACTCATGGGACGAACATCGAAGGGCACTTTTCTGCGCCTGGAATGGCCGTCAGGGGCCCAGGTCACACCCCGTAATGCACCTGGCGATTTCGCCTTCCTCGTGGCGCGCGTGCGGTGCGCCGAGACGATCTCGGCCCCCTCGGGGCGAAGATTGCTCATGGGCGGGTGGTGCGCACTTCCCCGCTCCGAGCTCCCTGCGCCCTCCAGAACCCCGCCGCCTGCACGTCCATCATGCTTGGATTGACGGGAGCACATGCCCCGTCTCGGACTGGCGGGCCGAGGGGTGTGCCGGCCAGGAGTCGCGTGGAGAGGGCCCCCATCGCGGGGAGGTGGCCATGCATGCGCCTGGGACATGCACCCACGTACCTGCGTGATGCGGACCCATCCTGCCCCCAAGTCCCGGAATTCGCGCCAATCGCGTGGCGCAGAAGGCGAAACCACCTGAAGGTGAGGGGTGCTCCCGCTTTGGTGTCAGGGTTTCCCCCCCCCCCCATGATGGGGTCGCGGCCCGGGATCCCCCATGCCACCCCCCACCGCCTCCCACGCCATGCAGACCCCGGCCTCCAGCAAGAGCCAGGACGATGGTGTCTACCCCTTGCCCCTGTCCGAGCCCCTCGCCTCCCTCAGGGTAGGCATCTGGGTGCTGGGAAGGGGGGTTAGACAGCTCAGCGAGGGCACCTCCTCCTGATGGGCTCCATTGCCCGCATGGACTGGCTCCCTCCCTCCCTACCCAGTTTTCAATCACAGCACGTCCACCCCCTTTCCCACTCACCCTGCCACCCCAGCAATCCCTGGACCTTGATGGGTCGCTGGAGGATCCCGGCACCCCCTCCGCCGCCACGGGGACGGTCAACCCCATCCATGCGGTGCTGACCCAGCCGGGTGCCTGGCGCCGGCGCTGGACCATCGTGTCCCTCTGCTTCGTGGCCTTCATGCTGTGCAACATGGACCGCGTGAACATGAGCATCGCCATCCTGCCCATGGCAGAGCAGTATGGCTGGTCCTCCATGACCACGGGCCTCGTCCAGTCCTCCTTCTTCTGGTCAGTGAATTGTTGGCTTTGTTCTCAGTTTTTTGGGGAGGGGAGGGGGGGGTGGGGTCTTCCAGCGTGCATCAGTAAAGCATCACAGGGTTCCCCCAATGCACTCCAAACCATCCTCGCGGCAGGGGCTACCTGCTGACCCAGGTGGCAGGCGGCGTGTGGGCTGACAAGTACGGCGGCAAGCTGGTGCTGGGCCTGGGGGTGCTGTGGTGGAGCTTGGCCACGGCGCTGACCCCCGTGGCAGCGCACATGGGCCTGCCGGCCCTCCTCCTGGCCCGCGCCTGCATGGGTGTGGGGGAGGGCGTGGCCATGCCCGCCATGAACACCCTGCTCTCGCGCTGGGTTCCCGTGGCGGAGCGCTCGCGCTCACTGGCCCTGGTCTATTCCGGTATGTACACCGGGTCGGTGCTGGGGCTCGCCGCCACGCCCCACCTCATCCACACCGTGGGCTGGCCCACCGTGTTCTACGCCTTTGGCCTGCTGGGTGTGGTGTGGGCGGTGGTCTGGAGGGCGCGCGCCGCCTCATCCCCGGGCCAGGACCCCTTCATCTCCGACGCCGAGCGCGAGTTCATCTCGGGCGGCGTCGCCGAGCAGGCGAGCGGGCGGGAGGATGTTAGTCTTGTTGGTTTTTTTTTGTGTGTGTGTGTGGGGGGGAGAGTGACGGGCGCCAGCATACCAGAGGGGAGAGGTAAGGCCGGATGTATGTGGCAGCGCGTGTGCATGCGCACTGCGGGACCAGGAATGGGACTCGTGTGCGTGTTTGTCATTGCAGGCATGCAAACGGGAGGGGCACGGGAGGTGGTCGCACCCTTCAACAACCTCCCTCATACACACACATATGGCCTGACCGTCCCCTCAATCGCCCCACCTCCATACCGAATGCAGAGGGTGGCTGGCATCCCCTGGCGGCGCCTGCTCAGCGAGCGCAGCGTCTGGGCGCTCATCGTTTGCCACTTCTGCCACAACTGGGGTACATTCATCCTGCTCACCTGGATGCCCAGCTACTACAACCAGGTTGGTGTGTGTGTGTGTTGGGGGGGAGGGGGGGGTGAGACGAAGAGGAAAGGGATGGGGAGAATGGGGTTCTTCATGGGCGCTGTCCCCTCAGGATGCACGCAATGCAGCCACATTGCTTCAGCGAGTAGTTATAGATCAAGACGCATGCCTGTTGTGCCGGCAGAACATCTGCGTCGACCCCCGCCCTCTCTTCCCCCTCCATCACTGCTCACATGACGTTCCGCTCTCCCATCCCGACCCGTTCTGCCCTCCTCCCCAGGTGCTGGGCCTTGATCTGCGTGCCTCGGGCTTCTTCTCCGTCCTGCCCTGGATCACCATGGCCATCTCGGCCAACATCGGCGGCTGGCTGGCCGACACGCTAATCGCGCGGGGGGTGTCGGTCACCACGGTGCGCAAGGTCATGCAGACCATCGGCTTCCTGGGCCCCGCTTTCTTCCTGACCCAGCTGGGCCGCGTGCACACCGTGCGCGGCGCCGTGGCCTGCATGATGGCCAGCCAGGGCCTGGACGCCTTCTCGCAGTCAGGGCTGTACAGCAACCACGCCGACATCGGGCCGCGCTACGCCGGCGTGCTGCTGGGCCTGAGCAACACGGCGGGGGTGCTGGCGGGGGTGCTGGGCACCGCCGCCACGGGGGCCATCCTGCAGAGCACGGGCAGCTGGGACCAGGTGTGGGGTGTGGCGGTGGGCCTGTACCTCATCGGCACCGTGGTCTGGAACCTGGCCTCCACGGGGGAGCGCGTGTTCGACTGAGGCTTCCCACTGGCGCCGCATGACATTCATACCCTGCCACTCTGGCTGCCTGTGTAATCCTCGATGTGCATGCCTGGGCGGGCGTGCCCCTCCCATGCTGGTCCTAACCAGCCCTGCTGGCACGCACAACATCAACCTGGCATTCCTATTCTTTGAGCTGTGCTTCCTTGAGTGCTGCTTTTACAGACATGGTTCTCTCTCAAGGGTGACACAAGGCAGACGAGCGCCCTGGAAGGGGGGGGGGTGGAATCCTCCAACCAGCCATCCGGCCAGGGTGACAGGTACATAGGATTTCTTGCTGACGCACTATCATTTCCATCGTGGCCGCAGGAGCACAAACAACTTACACCTGATCATTCGAAAGCCCCTGCAATGTTGCTCCAAGTTGCTGGTGGTCACACGCCCGCCACATAGTCACAGAGTCTGACTCGTGAACGGTGCTTGGACAAGGGGTCCGACTGATGACGCCCGCGAGCCCTGCCCTGGGCGTTGGATTACAAAAGCAAGGAGTATAATGCATCCGGCAAGACACTAGGTAAACAACCCTGCCCTGCTCGTTGCCCCTCGTGGGCCATGCCAATGCTGGGCGCCGGGCCGAAGCCGGCCGGGAATCTCTTGGCCGGTGGTTTTCTGTCTGAGCATGATAATCTGGATCCAAGATCTAAACAGCATAGGTCGACGCCGTGCTAGTCGCTTTGTAATGTCAATTAAAATGCTTACTGCTTGACTGAAGTGCAAGAGCTCTACTGAGGAGAGCATCGAACCTGGAAGTGGCAGGAGGACGGACCGTGGCCTTGCCTCTCGCTCGGGCCTTGGTGGTTTTTGTCGGAGTGGAAAGCTATTTCTGAGAGTCTTCAAGGCGTAGGACGGCAGCTGTGAGCATCCGCCTCGCCAGGCTTGCGGGGCGGATGATGGCCTCCCTAATGGGCGGGCGGCTCGGAGCTCGGCGCATGCCCGGGCCTCAGGCCCGGGTCCTCTTCTGCATCGCGGTGGCCGTTGTCGTCATGTACACGGCGAGCTCCAGGTTCAACTTGGCCAGGGCCGGAATCAACGTGCCCAGCGTGCCGACGCCTCTACGCGGTGAGGGGTGGGAGGGGCTGCTGGAACTGGCGCTTGCGCAGCTGGGGTGGCTCGGCTGGTCCGAAGGCCTCCCCATGCAGGTCATTTGCGCCGGGTCTTGCACGAAAGACTCCTCCATTTATATATTTATGATCACAGTGCTCAACATCTCGCCCAGGATCTTCAGAGGACCCTGTACTAATACTCAATAGTACTTTTGCACCTAGCCATGACCATACCAAAGGTGGCACCCAAGCTGCGGGGCATGCAGGGCGCGACACATCGCCCAGTGCTTCAGGCCTTGCCGGCAGAACATTCAATCACTCGTTAAATCCTACACATGAACTCACAAAGTGAGTGGGCGTGGGATGCTTGCTTCTGGAGTTTTGTGTTTCCAGGATCTCCATTGCTTAGAGTACACTCACAAGTGCGAACAATCATGCCTCACTCCATTCCCAATCACCCAGGGAGCTACTTGCCTCGGTGGCGGTTGATAAGCACGTCATACTCACACTTGCAAACTGGAACAGGATGTGCGTGGTGGAGGATATGGGCGAGTTTCATTTGCGGCCTGCCTCATCATGCATGCATTTGGGGCTGGGACTGCTGCCCCGCTGAAGCTCCGAGTGGGATGTGCTCACTATTGTATACCTATCAAAATTTTCACATTTGCTCTTGCAGCGACTTCATCGAGAACTGGGTGCACTACATGCAAGCAACAGGCTGCAAGGCATACCTCGTCGGTGAGAATGAGCGGAATTGGCGCTGTGTGTGTCGCTTTCTTGCGTGATAGTACTATGGTGCTGGCCAACTTGTAATCCTGGGCATTGACAGCAATCTCACAAGACTTCTCTGTGCACTTGTTACCCGCAGGTGCATCTGATAATAAGACGCTGGACTGGTTGGTGGAGCGTGAGATTCCTGCCTTCTATGTCGATGCTGGGTCGCAGTCCACGGAGATGTGGTGGGGATCCAAGGCTTTTCTTGGACTGGTGAGAACGTTTGGGAGATCTTTGTGATCGAGTCCCTTGCTACCTTGTGCAGGCAATGCTTGCAAGGTGCATGCAGTCGACATGCGCCAAGAATAACACGAGCCCAAGTGGATGCTGGTGATGGTGATTCATGCTGCATTGCATGTGCTCATTTCCCTGATATACCCTCACCCCCACCGTAGATGACGGCGCGCATTGCTGTGGACCTGAAGATTCTGCAGTTTGGCTACAGCGTCCTCTCCACGGATGCTGATGTGGTGTGGATGAGGGACCCTCTTCCCTTCATGCTCAAGGTGAAGATCATGGACGGCGGCTTGGATTCTCGCTGGGGGAATGACTAATGCAGCTCAGGGGGCCTGAACCAGGGGCAGTGCAGGTCGTCTGAAGCATGCTGAACATCTGTCGAAGATCAGGGGCCCCCAGCGTGCTGCGTCTGGCTGTTCCGTTGCCAACCCCACCCCCTTCCCCTATACCATGCCCCCACAGTATCCGGAGGCCGACATACTGATGAGCAACGACCAGCTCATCACCACCGCGGAAGGGGAGGAGTTGGAGCACTGGCCGGCCTCTGGGTGGTCTGCAAACGCCGGCTTCAAGCTGTTCAGACCCAGGGCGGCGCAGTTTGTCAAGGTGGGCTATGGTACTGCTTTTCAGGATGCCCGCTGCTTTTCAGGCACCACGAGTCCGCAGCCTTGGGTCTGAGGGAGGGAGGGGGGGTTAGTGTCATCATTGTCTGGCCCACCTGTCTGTCCAGCGGTTACTATGTGCTGAGACTACTCCTTCTCACCCACACCTCTCAGACATGGATTGCCGAGATGGCGCACCTGAAGAAGGGGGAGCATGATCAGGTGCTCTTTGACCGCCTCATCTTTAGCAACGCAGAGGTCATCCCTAGCAGATCAGATCATCTGTTCAGGTGATGCGAATTTGTGCTTCATGGGAGAGGCGAGCTTGGGCATCAGACCTCCGTGCATTTTGGGTGCATCCTTGACAACCAGCATCAGCACGCCCTGCATCTCCTGTGATTGAGCTTTCTCTCCTTCTTCCTTGACGTTTTCACCACGCAGGGGCTTTGACAGGAAGCTGATCATCGGCTCCCTGCCCGTCTCCCTCTTCTGCTCGGGCCAGACCTACAAGGAGCGCATGCCTCAAAACATGGGCCTGAAACCCTACGCTGTGCATGCTACCTTCCAGGCCTGCACCCAGGCAAAGATCAATCGCCTGCGGGAGTATGATCTCTGGAAGGTGGGCGGGAGCGGATGCTTTGGGAGGGCGATGGAGAAGTGATTGCATTGGTGAAGGTCATGAGATGGCATGTCATACACGAGTTTCTTTCTTCTGATGAGCACGTATGTATGGACGGCTGTGGAGCCTACCCGCTTGCCTCTGGTTGTTGTGTCGATGACAAACCACCCCTCCCCGCCCTCACAACTGGTCCAGGATCCCGACGCGCACTTCTCGCACCCGGTGGGGTTCATCAGCTACGATCGCGACATCCCCCAGTCTCTGCTGGACGCCGCCGCAAAGGTGAGGGGGATTCGATCCCGTCCCTTGTTGCATATGTTTGTTCATCGGCAATGTGCTTGTCAATAGGCCAGCCTCCTCATGCCGCTATCACCTGATCCAACCTTTCGAACTCCCCATTCCTAGGGGGGCCGGCGCAAGGACATCGCTTCCACGCTGCCCCACTTCGACCTGGTCAACCACCAGCTGTCCCAGCTGCGGACGCAATTGATCCTGACGGAGGAGCTGGGGGGCGCGGCCGCCATCCTGCCCTCCATGGTGGCAGGGATGGACTCTTCATACAAGGCGCACAATGGGACTGTGCCGGGGTCACGGCTGCGCCTGCCCTACCCCGCCCCCTCCGACCAGATCATCGATATGCGGGAGATGGAGGAGCGAATGCCTGGCCGCTGGCGGGAGGGCTCTTTTCTGCTCAAACCCCGCGCCACGTCGGTCAATGCCTCGGTGCTGGTGCTGACCGTTTGCGAGGCCGGGGCAGATGTCACTGAATGTGCTGCCGGTGACGCCAAGGCGGTGCCGGAGCACGATCAGATCAGGATATTACCAGATCGGTCCCTGGCGCAGCTGCGGACGGCGCTCTCTGGGGTGTTCAGCAAGTACAAGGTGGGTTTAGCAGACCAAGCATGTCTTTGCGTCCTTTCAGTCCCCATGCTTTGAGACGAGGCACCCCTCACCAATCAACTGCCATTCCACCAGCATCTCTCCTACGGGACCCCCCCCCCCCCCCCCCCCCAAACCCCCCCCCCCCCCAACCCCAAGCCGGA